TCAGGTTGTTTACGTATTGATAAAACAAGACTGTTCGCAGTTGTCGACAATATAAAACATCATTGATATCAGGTTGATCTCAGTTGTTCCAACAACGTTGTTCAGGCCTTGTTCGTTCATCAGGCGTTAACAACATTGTTCGAACAAGCGTGAACAATATTGTTGACAACATTGCTGCAAGTGGGCCGCACAATATTGCAGCATCCTGTTCAGAACCAAGTTGCAGCAACTTGTTGACAACTTGCAACAACATGATGATTTTTACGCGTGTAAGTAAGGCTAAGTAGGTAATACGAAAGCGTAATACTTGATGTAATGGGTGACTGAAAAGAACGGGGAGTGCGCTGAATAACAATACATGTAACATATGTAACTTGATAACGAAACGACATTGACAGAGTGGGTTGGGATTATCCCCTAACACCGTGATTACTGCAAGTAAGGACGATTAGCACACCCCAACTTATACTTACTATTAATTACCTGCCGTCTCAGAAGATGAAAATATTGTGCTGGTGTTGTGGGATTCACAATGTGAATATTTACATTATCACCATCGACTGCATCTTCCTCGCTGTCACTCAACTGTCAAAATAATATCGCACAAAATTAGAAACAGACTAGCCTATACGGTGTAGACCTGAGCAGAAGGCTAAAAACAGACATGAAGACAGAAAGATCACATATTTATTCAGCACGTTGCCTGACGAACCTGTAGAAAACGTTCAATACGACAAGATGAATGCTCAGGTCCCATACCATCCATACCGTGAGGTAATAACATCACCAAACCACTTTGTAGAAGCCACTTCGCTGAAAACATAAAAATATTTTGAAAAGATCACTTTGATGCTGCAATCAGTGTATATTTTAAACGTTTTACAATGGAGGCCAAAACCAAGATTAGGGTCCAGTGTGGGCTCCCCAGAGTAGGATTTAGTTAACTCAGGGTAAGGTTTTAGGGCCCAGTATGAGCCACTAACAGTGATGTAACTTTACTTTTTTGACCACTTTCGTTTCAGGGCAAGTTGGACATGAAAATTAGTTGCCTTGAATAACATTCACTTGCCATCAGAATTGGGCCACTGGGGTACCTAGGTAAGGGGTATAAATTAAGGGGAAAACATGTCGACCTGTTCTCCCACTGCTCTATATGGCTATGTTATACTGCCTCAGATCTCGCTTTGGCCCACGAAAAACAAAATTTGAATCTGTCAACGCTCTGCCAAAAGTCGTGGGTATTCTCCGGGCGCTCCGGTTTCCTCCCACAGGGAAAGTTGACAGGGTGGGTTAGGATGAACACAGTTAAGAAAGTAGTATCACAATTGTGGCAAAAAATAAATAGTCTAAGCTTAGTACAGCCCGCTGCTCAACAGGATTGAACAATGTTTTGCTTCCCACGTTGTTCACACTTTTCAACAATATTGAACAATATTGTTGAGCCTGAATCGGATGTAACAATATTGTTGACAAGTGTGAACAATATAAAATGTGGGCAGCAAAACATTGTTCAATCCTGTTTTCATCAATATTGCAACAACCTGAGCGTTTTTACGCGTGTACACGCGTAAAAATCATCATGTTGATGCAAGTTGTTCAAAACAGGAGCGAACAATGTTGTGCTGCACCCCGTGAACAATATTGTTAACAAGTTGTTGAACCATCAATATTGTTGCAACTTGTTGACAGTCATGTTAACAACTTGCAACAGTACTGATGGTTGAACAACTTGTTAACAATATTGTTCACGGGGTGCAGCACAACATTGTTCGCTACTGTTTGAACAACGCCGAACAACCTGATCAATTTTTACCCGTGTAGGGAATACAAGTAAGCGTGATACTTGATGTAATCGGCCACTGAAAAGCCCCAATGTGGTGTGAGCTGAAAAATCATAATCATATTCTGAAGTCAACTTACTTTCACCAGCGGACACAAACGTATCAACAATGACTTGAGCGCCATTATAGAAGTCACCAAACTGAGCTTCCCAGATAATCAAGTTGCTTGGGTCTTCCAAACTCATGCCATACTCAAATCCCAACACGGCCTCTTCTGATAGTGGACTGTTACACACCTTAGAAAATACACAATTGTGTTTTTATACCACCTTGTGGCGTCCAAATGGAGTCGAAAAACGACTGTTGAAAAAATGTTTCCAAATGCCCCAAACAGGAATAGATGATCCCAGCTGTTGATTAAATCCAGACAAGAAGGAAGAAATCTATCATTACAGCTTAAAAGAACATCCTTAAACTAGTAAAATTCCCAAAAGTCAACAAGGTGTGTTTGCATTAGGTTTGTAGCAAGCTTGTTAACAAGTTGTGACAATGCTGTTCCAACAACTTGTCAACAAGTTGTCTCCACAACAGGCTTGTAGCAAGCTTGTTAACAAGTTGTGACAATGCTGTTCCAACAACTTGTCAACCAGATGTGTTTGCAATAGGTTTGTAGCAAGCTTGTTAACAAGTTGTGACAATGCTGTTCCAACAACTTGTCAAAAAGTTGTCTCCACAACAGCCTTGTAGCAAGCTTGTTAACAAGTTGTGACAATGCTGTTCCAACAACTTGTCAACAAGTTGTCTCCACAACAGGCTTGTAGCAAGCTTGTTAACAAGTTGTGACAATGCTGTTCCAACAACTTGTCAACAAGTTGTCTCCACAACAGGCTTGTAGCAAGCTTGTTGACAAGTTGTGAGAATGCTGTTCCAACGACTTGCCAACAAGATGTGTTCTCAACAGGCTTGTAGCAAGCTTGTTAACAAGTTGTAGCAATGCTGTTCCAGCAACTTGTCAACAATATGTGTTCGCAACATGTTTGAAGCCAGCTTGGGGCCACATGTCGATCCGTTCTTCCACTGCTCTATATGGCTATGTTATACTGCCTCTGATCTAGCTTTGGCCCACAAAAAACAAAATTTGAATCAAGGCCATGCACTATAAAAAATTTATATCCGACAATGAAGACATAAACTTAAAGATGTCCAGCTTTTTGTGGCAAGGCAACTTGCCCAATCGGGCAAGCAAGATAAAACGTTTACTTGCCCATCATGTGATATTCACTTGTCCCGGGCAAGCGGGCAAGTGTTAAGTAACACCTCTGATATCTGTTATTTATATGGGAAAATAGAAGATAAATTTCGTGGTTTGCACTTGGCGTCGTCGCAGCCATATTGGAGGAACGCTAACAAAAGAATATGATTAGCAGTGATTATATTTGGAGCGTGTTTTCCTCCAACATGGCCGCCGTGTCTTTGTCTCATAAATGTCAAGGGATTGATTGCTACTGTAAGTGTCAAAATTCCTGAAGTTGACCACTCATGTTGCCCCGTAACACTTCCTGAGACCAACCAATGCGAAGTCCACTTACCTCAAGAAATGAAGACTGGTCTGTACACATGTGATTCAAAGGTATATACATCCTGTCTGATTCCTGACACACCAACATCACATGACGATGACTGAATGTACCTCTGCCCACATCCTGACCACTGATACGAACATTGTGACCTACATGAGATATGTAATCAAACATTTTATTCTATATTTATATTACTGAAATATTACTGAATTTATGAACTAGAATATCACAGTGGATAGCTCTATTGTATTGCAAATTGTTCTCCCTAGGATTCCGGTAAGGGCAATTCCTTACCGATCTGGTGTTACTACAGGAGGAA